CCCGGGGCCGGCAGCACCACGGGGTCCAGTGTGTCGCAGTACGTGGCGTTGCAGACACACACAATGGAGTCACGGCCAAAGGACCTGGGGCTGCAGGGCCAGGTGCCTGGGGGGCACGGGCAGGGTGGGGGCAGCTGCCGGCTTGGGGACGCGTCCCCACCAGAGCTCTGCTGCCCGCCCCAGGGGGCTGCCTCTGCCCCCACGCTCCACACCCCGTCCCCTCCCCCGACACCCCAGCTCCTGCACTGCCCCCAGGCTCCTGACCCCGTCCCAGGGCACCCCAGTGCCCAGGCCACACTGTCCCAGTGCCATCCCCGCTGTGTCCCCATGCTCACCTGCAGCCTGCGGCACTGCCTGCAGCAGCAGCAGCCAGCCCAGGACGCCAACAGCCCCCATGTCTCCCCAGCTCCAGCAGGTCCCAGGGAGCAGAGCCTGTGAGCAGGGACACCCTCAGCCAAGGCAGACGCGGGCACAGGAGGGGTGGAGGGACAGGCTGGGCTCCCCGGCTGGATCAGTGCTCCCTCCTCTGCCCCCACTCCTGCTTCGGCTGCCAGGGAGCTCCTGCCCATCATCCCCCTCCTCAGCAAAGACCCTCGCCCGGCAAAGTGGGTCCATCCCTGCCAGAAACCTGCAGCCCACCCACCTCTGTCCCGGCTGCTCCCCGACCTGTACTGCTGCCAGCCTTCCTCCTCCTCCTCAGGCAGCTCCAGCCTCCCCACCTCGCCTTTACGGGGAGCTGCTTCGAGACCTCCCTCCGCAGCACACCCTCTCCCACCCCCACAGCTCCTCCTTGCTCCCCTCCCGGCCCGTACCTACTCTTGGTCTTGGCCCCAGACCATGGGGATGTCTCCTCACCATGGAGCTGGAGCTGGGGAACATGAGGTCCCCCACATCTTTCACTGCCGTGCAAGGGTGTCAGCCCCCCAAGAAGAGAGACTGGGACATTGAGCTGGAAGCTCTGGTTATGTGAAAGGCCCCACCAGCACAGGGAGATGCAGCATGGGGCAGCTCTGAGAACTCACTGCCATGCCTTGAAGGAAGCGCTGATTCCTTTCTTTTGTCAGGCAGGGGCTGAGATGAATCCCTGGAAGCACAGCAGAGCCCACGGGCAGGTTCACGGGCACCGTAGGCTGTCCTGCTAATAAGCTCTCACAGCACCTCGGGCCATTCATCCCTGCCCATCACCCCAGTTTTTCCCCAAGAACTGCTGTGGCCATGCACCCAGTGTATGGATGGCCCAGGACCCCCAGTGAGGATGGAAATGTAGCTGCATGGCCCGGTGCAGCAAAAGGACAAGCCAAGGGCAGCCACCCAGGAGTGGGGGCCACCACCGTGCCCCATCCAAGCCTTTTGCATCACTCGCCCCAGCTCAGCAGCTACCATGGAGGGCAACAGCGGCAGCAGGCTGGCAAGTGCCCCGGCAGGAGCTGTGGTCTCAAGCCAGACCCATGGCAGGGAACCCGCTGCCCTGACACTAGCCATGCCAGGAGCAGAGCTCAGCTCCGCCATGCCTAGGGACAAACTGCTCCGGGAGCAGCCCCCTCTCCTCCAGGAGCAATCCTCCCAGCACAAAGATCCAGGGCTGAACTGGGCTGGCTCACCCGGGCTCACTGCCTGGTCTTGGTCACATCGCCCAGGACGTGCCCACTGCCATGGACACACATGCACACACCCTCGGCATCTCTCGGCAGGGGTGACATGCAGGACAGAGAGCAGCCAGCCCCCGGCCACCGCTCCGCTGGCCCCAGAACATCAAACGTCAGGGCTCAGAGTTTCCCTCCACAGGGTTAAACCGCTCCGTTAGCTCTCCCTGTCCGGGTGGAGCAGCACTTCATGACTAATTTTCTCCTTTTCTGGCATATCAGATGCAGCTGTGGGGCAATTCATCAAAGTTCCTCCTACCCTCCAGCACTGCCCTGCCACCCTCCCGTGCCTCTACCTGCCACGCTGGCCCGAGCCATGTGGGGCCGAGCCACAGGGCGCCCGGGCCAGCTGCCACCAGGGAATGGGCAGACAGGGCCAGGCAGCCCCCAGGTACAACTCACAGGGCAACCAGGCAGCCCCGGAAGGAAGCTGCTGGCCCCACGGCTCTCCCACCCCTAAGCCATGACTAACGTGCCAGCTGGGTGCTACACCCAAGCTAATAAGCCCCAATTTTGGGGAGAGGATAATAGGTCAACCCCTGCTGCCCCACAGTTATCAGCTGCCTCCCAGCCCACTGCCAGCCCCTCCGGGTACCCTGTACACCCTTTCCCTCCCCATTTCGGGGTCTGGTTCTGCCTGTCCCCATCTGGCCACAGCCCTTGCAGCTGGCTCAGGTCCCCGCTGCTCCCGGGAGGAAAAACACTGCGGAGGCTGCTGGAGCTGGTCCCTATCACCACAGGCTGATAAGAGCTTCCTGCTGAGCAGGAAAAGTGAGACCCAGGGGAAGGGACACACCTCCGTGCGGAGTGGTGGCACAGGAGACGCGGGGCAGCCCAACCAAATCCTCCCAAAGCCGCTTCTTGCTGCCGCTCCCAGCACCCGGGGTTTCTCACAGTGTCTGCAGCAGGAGCCCAAGGGGAAAACTTTGTCCCTCAGCCAGGCCAGAGGGGATGGGGACCCTGGGAGCACAGAGCTGCAGCTAAACAGCCTTTATGGGGAACACGACTCCAAAAACATCGCTGCCGAAGTGGGAGCTGAGGGTGCAGAGCCACGGGATGACCACAGCAGTGGCTCCAGTGTCCTGCCAGGCGGATGGACCTCAGCCCTGGGCATGGGGAGAGCTGGCCCTTGCTGGTTGCAGGCCAGCTGCTCGGGGGTCCTGTCCCAGCCACCAGCTGGTGTGTGCCCCAAAATCAGCCAACGCTTTGCACAAGAATTAATGAGCTGAGCACCTCTCCATTTAACGTGGAGATGGTTGGTCCTCCAGAGCTGAGCAGAGCACAGGGACAAGGGCGCACATCCTGGGACGATTCATCATCCAGACATCAGCTTTTATTACCAGGGCTGGTAAAACGTTAAAGGAAGCTGGTAAGAACCTGAGAAAGAAGCAGCAGGTGGAGAAGCAGTCCTGCGCAGGGACCGGCAATGCTGGAAGCGGGGCTCGCTGCCGCTGCCATCCTGGAGAAATATTTCCCTCTTGTGGACAAACACAAAGAGCCTCCAGGCAGGAACGGGATTTTCCTGGCCCTCTGCACAGCCAGCTTCCCCCAGCACATGGTGGTGTGGGTTCCCAGTGTGGCCGTGCCCCAGAGCGATGCCCCGGTGGCACCACAGCACAGGATGTGCCAGCTTCCCAAGGTGACCCTGTCACGCACTTACCTGGCGCCCTGGGCGCTGCCGGAGCCGGTGCTGGGCTGTGCCCGGCCCACGCAGCGTCACTGCTGTCAGCCCTGACAGCATCCCGGGCCACATCCCGCCTGCCCCGACCTGGCTGACCCGGATCAGCCCCGCAGCCCCAGCCTCCCTGCCTCCTCCTGCCTGCAACTGCGACCTTCCTGCCCTAATCCTTGCCTGCCGCGCTCCCTCCCTCCTTCCTGGGTGTGCCCGCGCTCAGCACCCACTCCTGGCCCCATGCCCGCTTGCTCAAGCTGCCCTAGCTCCGCAGAGGGCACTGAGCCCCTGCTGCACCCCGAGCCGCAGCAGGGTACCCCTCTGCCCCAGTGGTGATGGGACACCCCACAGCAGGGGGACAGCACGTCCCAGGGCAAGGCTGCTGCAGCCTGGCCGCCATCCCTCCCCCTGCAAAGCCCCAGGAGAAGCCTGGAGGTGCCCTGACCCCATCCAGAGCTCACTTGTACCCCGAGCCCACCATGCTGCCATGCTCCTGGAGCTGGTTCTGCCTCCAGCCCCGCAGCCTGGGCTGGGCGAGATGTGATCCACGTGTCCCCCCAGCCCAGTGTGGGGCTGCAGGTGGCTCCAGCTCGGCAGGAAAAGCAGGGAGAGCTGAAGCCTGGCCGCAGTCCCTGCCCAGGGCTTCCACCAAGACGGGCGTTCATGTACTTTGCTCCCACTCCTGCTCCAGGACCTGGAGCATCTGCACACAGGGTAAATCCTGAGCTGCCTGCCCATTCCTAGATCTGCCCTCAAAGGCAGTGGGAGAGCACCCGGGCTCAGCTCAACCCCCTGCCAGGCAGAGCACACTTGAAACTGGGAAGCAAACTGGTGCATGGAGCACCTCCCCGGTGGTAGCAAACCCCACTGCGAGCTGTAGGGAGGAAAGCAGACGGGGTGGCAAGGGAGAATGGGTGTCCCATGGGGCTCCAGGTGCTCCATGCTGCTCCTGGGAATCCCATGGGCTCCGTGCCTGGGCGGCACCCAGCCATGGTGCCCGGGAGCAGGGGAGGGACCTGGCCGTCTCTCTTCCAGCCGCAGACATAGAGGCAGCATCAGCATTTAATGTCGGAGCAGCAGAAAACAGCATTCATAGCCTGTGGGATCTCCACCCCAAGGGGCACTGGTGCCCCCAGCCCTCCTGCACACGCATGGCACTGCACAGCCTGGCTCACTCCTCCGGCTCGCCCGAGCGCTCAGCTCCGCTGTGGCACAGACAGCGGTGAGCCACCTCCTCCGCACTCCCAGGCCTGAGCCCAGGGCACTGTGGGCTCTCCCAGCCCGGCTCAGTCCAGCTCCTGGCCAGCCATGGGCCTCCCAGCCCTGTTACTGCCGCCGCCACAGGTAGGTCTGGATGGAGCTGGCTGGAGCCATGGCTGCGATGAGACCAACCGTGTCGGCCAGCCCAAAGGTGATGTTCTGCAGGGACCTGGAGGGCAAGGAGCAGCGGGGTCAGTGTTGCAGCAGCCCCCGAGCACCAGCGGTGCACAAAGCCTAGCAGGATGGCAGGACATCCCAGCAGGACCCTGGCAGGAGGGGGTCGTGCGGGCTGAGCCACATCGCTCACCGGTTGAGAACCACCACCACCACGGCACCGTCGGGGCGCAGGAAAGCCGTGTACTCCAGGTCCGTCTTCTTGGACTCTTTGGAGGGAACGAGCCCCACACGCTGGGAGCCCTCAGGGATGAACTTACTGCACGGGCACGAAGATACCCCAGGGATGGAGTCAGACCCCAGTAGAGCTCTCCTCCCAACAAACCTGCTCCCCTCCTGACATGCTGCTACTGCAGCCACAGAGCTGGAGCCCAGGCCCCGAACCCACCTGAAGTGCCCCATGTGGTAGAACATGGGCTGCTTGTAGAAGATGCCTTCACTGGTGTCCACGATGATGGGGCTGTCCACGTAGTTCTTGACCCAATTGGGCCCCCCCTCCAGGTCCAGGGCCAAGTTCCAGTCGGTCCAACCAGCCACAAAGTGGTTCAGGTTCTGCAATGGGACAGCCCAGATGTCTACCCAAGGAGCAGGGTGCCGACGGGAGAAGGAGCACAGCAGTAACCCTCTCTGGGGCCTGCTGTGCCAGGTGGCACAGGGGTCTCACCGTCAGGATGCTGTGGCTGTACTGGTTCCCCCGGTCCCAACAGCCAAGGATCACATCTCTCTCCCAGAAGTGGGCCCCGATGCACGCCTCTGTGGCCAGGATGAAGTAATCGGGGAAGAGCTCATGAGTGGGCACCACCGTGTCCTGTATGGGTCCAATGAAGTCCAGGTACCAGTGGATGCCGATGCCGTGGACGTAGCGAGCTGCTGCTTCATCCTCCAGGACCTGGCAGGGAGAGGAGTCAGTCACTGCTGGGTCCCACGAGGCAGAGCGCCATCGCCCCAGCCCTCGCGCTGTGGGAGCTCGCCGTGCTGACGGACCCCCTGCCCCACTCACTACTTTGGCCCAGTGCGGGAGGTGGAGCCGGTTGTCGTCCAGGATGATGAGCCGGATGTCGCGGTGGGAGCTGTTGGCCAGCGCAGGGCCCAGGTCCCGTGCGATGAAGTCCCG